AATGCTAACCACTTAGCTAAAAATATCTTATGTCCCATGCCTGTTCCCTCCTAATACATTTGAGCAAACTAACAGATTTTTATGAGTCTTGGTATAGCCACAAACTTCTGAGATGGATACAACACATGAGAGTCATAACATTTTACATGGCCAACAGAGATTTGATTAATGTATATATATTTTTTTAAAAAAAATTCTTCTTACTACAACATAACAAGAACAGGAAATCTGTATGTTAGCATTGTGTTTCATAGTGACAGCTGAAGAAATACTATACATACATTTGGTATGGAGATAATACATACAATTACACTAAAATATATATCAAAAGTTTACAGTCACTCACAATTATAATAATAATAAAATAGTATTAAAAGATTTAAAACATCATTAAATACACTACTAGTTTCGGCTACATTCAGCCATCGACGGGTGTATGCTGTATAAACCTATCACCATTTTTTACTGATTTATAACGTTATTCATATATCACTGTCTTCATTCTTGATGTTGTTCTTGTTCTTTACCGTTTTCGTTTTTCAATGGTTATCAATATGTCCGTGCACTCTAAAAAAAAACCTGTTCTTTGTTGTCATGTTGTGTCCCTGTCTTTCATTTGTTATTTAATCAACAGTAGCATGCTGGCGATGATAATTACAGTTGAATGTTTAATTCAAACCAAATTGTAATAGTAATATAATAAAACCAAACATACAAGCAAACATGTAAACTCACCCAAGTAAAAATAAATAGTAATATAATAAAACCAAACATACAAGCAAACATGTAAACTCACCCAAGAAGCAATAACTCACTCGTAGTATGTGAACGGAGAACACTGAACTGTACAGGATTGGAGCTGGTAACTGACTGTGGGGCTAGTGGGTGAAAGGTGGTTTGTCCGGGTTTGGGTCAAGGTACTGAAGTGTTTTGAAGATAGGGTTATTAAGTTCAATGCCGTTATCATTGAGGCATAAGTTTTGTTTATAATTTTGATATATGTAATATTTTTCTATTGTGTCCCTATGTCTTTTGTTTTTTACTATTTTCATTATGTCCATTGTTTCATTGATTGTATTATATGCATGTCCTGTATTTAGAATGTGTTTTGAGTATGCAGAACTATCTTTATTGTGTCTTATGGCTGCTATGTGCTCCTTGTATAACCACAATATGACGCAATTGCAGTATCTTATACAATTACACATTTTTCACTCAACATTTGTTGCAAGTTAAAAATCCAAATCACGACAGAAAGAAACTTAGAATACCTGACAGATCCACACAGTGGAAATTATGCACAGAAAAATGTCTTTAGGCCTTTTCTGAACAGAATAATTTGTAATTCCTGCTAGTCTCACTATAGAATTAAAAAATCTGCAAGCATACATCAGAAGTTATTTCCAGAACTTCTCGCACTAGTAGGATACGAGCTTTTCACAGCAGTGAGTCCGAAGATGGCTGTCTTCTGGGTTGTAGCGACAAGGCATGATGATGATGATGATAGAAGCAGCAAGGACCTCTGGAACACTGGTAAACTTCTACCAGACTACACAGCACTATAACCCAGAAGACAGCCATCTTCTTGCATTAGCTCCTTAACTGTAAAGTTAACAAGTGCTATATATACTTTCCCAGTGGGTTTTTCTTTATCTTGGGTACTATGTGGTGGTTCTTTCTACAGTGCAACTTTTGTAACATTTCATTTTTACAGTTGATTTCTTTGGTAATAAAACAACTTGATAAAATAAAAGCATCATCCAAATTAAATCTGCAAACAAGAGAAACTCTTCATACTTACATGCCTGTAAATTACATCATGGCAAAGTGATTGAGTCTAAATTCCAATGCAGTCAATTCTGTTGCAATGTGTGTTTGTTGTTAAGCATGGTTAAAACATAATGAAACTATCTGGCAAAACCTCAAAATGATTTTAAGCTTTCACAGCAAATAAATGCACTAAAATTATCTCAGGCAATTAGCTGCACCAAAGTTGGATTAAAAATGAACATATCAGACAACTGCTGTCTCCAACATCAGGCTTAACCCCAATGATGGAGACACAGCAGGTTCCCAAAACACTGGTTTCTACCTCAACTCTGATGTGGCTGACAGCCCAAGAGAATTGTAGTGCATGAGGTAACACAGCTTTCATATAGCAGATCCATTTTGGATATAACAGTCGAAAACATGGCAATTGGGCACACATTGGAGGGAGAAGCACTTCCTATACAATATGTTTTATAACGCAGGATTTTTCAAATAACACGACTATTGCATTAAAGCAGAATTCACTGTATTGATAACATTAAATATGTGACGCTAGTGAGCCAAAATTTTGCCTTTATACGTTAATAAAATTATACTTCAACAAATAAACAATGTCAAACAGAAATTAATAATCAACATACATAATCCCCAGACATTCTTCAGCTGCTTTATCCACAATGCAGTAGCATCAGTTTCATCTTCCAAAGAAACTTCACAGTGTTTATGCTCACTGAGAAAATCAGGGTCTTGCTGAGAATGGGATGATACTGATACCAAGTTTGGATTTCTTCTTCTTCTGGAACTCATACTAAAACAAAATCATACATTTCCCTAAATAAATAGTAAAGTATAAACCAAACTCACTGTACAAATCATTAAATGCTACTTGAACTGCAATACAAACACTTTTCACGTGGATTACATACTACTTTAAAGTGTCTGTTTAATCCAAAAACTGAATTCTTTATCAGAGGTGATATACATACAGATTATAACTAACCAACTAACTACATGGCTTACTGAACCCAAAGGTTCATCACTGAACTAACCAAAGCTCTCCACCGGTCCCTGTCCTGGGTCAGCAAAATCCAATCGCCTTCAACTCCTATCTCGCATAGATCCTGCCTGAGATTATCCTCCCATCTATGTCTAGGTCTCCCCAGTGGTCTCTTCGCCTCAGGCTTCCCAACTAATACTCGTTGCACACCTCTTGCCCCATCCATGCATGCAACATGCCCTGCCCATCTCATTCTTCTTGATTTAATCACCCTGACAATATTGGAGGAGGAGTATAAATTTTTAAGCTCATCATTATGCAGTTTTGTCCATAACCCAACCTCTTCTCTCCTAGGCCCAAATATCCTCAACATCCTATTCTCAAGCACCTGTAATCTATGTTCCTCCGAGTGAGTGACCATTTTCACACCCATACCAAACAACAAGCAGAATTATTCTTTAGGTTTTTATAAATCAGATGGGAAGACAAAATATTTTGAACTCAGAAACAACAAGCATTTCCAGAATTTAGTCTCCTAATTTCCTCATGAATATATTTTGATTTGTTATTGTTGTTCCCACACTATCTCAATAAGAAAATCAGGAGTAAACTATGAAGGCAATGAAATTCTCAACCATCACAAATCTTAAAAATAAATTGCACAATTTAAAGTAGCAATAAAAATTTCTATTACACGCTCCTTTTACTCTGTTGATAAATTTCTGATCTTTATAAGTAAGTTATAATGTTCATTAAGGTTTTCTTGCAGTATAATTAATCTACTGTATGCAATGGGTAGATTTATTTGTAACATATCATTACTTTATGTGAACCCTTTATTTATACTATGTGAAATCTCCATAACAGTATAAATTTTACTTGTATAAAGCATTCTGTTGTTACGACTTATTCCACATATATTTTCATTTGGCTAACTTAGCAGTTCATCGAATGAAATAAAGAATAGAAAAATGTGTATATACATACAGACCAATATGAAACACGTAAAACCCTTGTTTCAAATTACCCCACCCACGTCTTGAAACACACAGGCAAGCAATCTAAATTTATTTTACATTCAAGTTCATGAGGTAGACCAATCCTTTATGCTGTTAATTATAACATTACATTATGGTAGATATCTTCTAAACTGTTTAATAATGCAATGAAATTTATAGCGTACTGCCCTACGCCGACATTAACTAAAAATCCCTACTGCCTACATGATATAAAGGTAATACGTTAGTGGTCATTCTTACTTGGTTTTTGTTATCAGATTTTATTATCTTCAAATGTATGCTTACGTTTTACACAAAACATACTCTACAACACAGCCTCAAACCTAGTTATGCATGCATATGCAACACGTCACAGACCACATACAAGTATCATGAAAAATTAGATTGTCAGAATCCAGAACTCCAGAATACACTGACAGATACTTATGACGTTTTTCTTCCAAATACCGAGCAGATGCAGCCAACCCAACCGTGTTATACGTACCTTTCCATTAGATTAACATAACAGCGTAAGTAAATTTTCTCAATCTTCTTCCACCACAATGAATACAGTTTCCACTTTACCTTCCTACCCTGTCGAGAATCTAGTATTATTTTACCCAGTTCATGCACGCTGTAAAATGTCCAATATCAGAACTGGTGAGATAGATACTCAAAGAAACTGCGGCGCCAGAAAAGTTATGTCACCATTTTCTCAAGATTTCTTCTAAGTCGGCTTAGTTTTTAAATAAAATGTACGCTACTAGATAGCCTCAAACACTACGTTCTCCACGATTATCTACATTTACAACAGTTAACCTTCTCGGCTATTGGACATTTGCCGATGACTATAATAACCCTTAGGTTCAATTATCCCTCTTATGTGAGAAAATTCCCTACCATATGAAGACAATACGTTTTCGTAGTCACTAAGCCATTTGTCAATGCAGACGCGTTACAATTTAAATGGTTACGCCGAAGATAGTTGGAGTTTCACAATGATTATAGGTTTATTACCGTCATTGTCTTCTTCTGTTATCACTCGCACATTATATATCCTTTCAGCATCCTACTTCTCTCTCTCTCCTGTGTCACTGAAACCTGTACCTACTCTTTTCTGTTAAAATTGTCCCACAATGCTCAGACTTCACTGACCTGTTTCAAGAAATATGATATAATTTATCATATTAGGTTCCTATAATTCTGCAGTGTGTCACTCACAGAATACTAGTCTGATTTTTAAAATGGTCGTGGGTAGAGTGTATCATTCTGGCAGAATACAGTGCATGGTATCAGGGAAAAACATTCTTTTCCATGTCAAGTGTGAGAAAAGATATACTTCACTGCAGAATTATTTAATCCTGCAGTCTTTTCAGTTAAAATTTGTTTGTTCCACAATGCTCAGGCTTCACAGACCTGTTTCAAGAAATATATATAATTTATATTAGGATCCACTGATTCTGCAGTCTGATTTTTAAAACAGTCCTGGACAGAGTGTATTATCCTGGCAGGATACAGTACATGGCATCAGGGAAAAAAATCTTACCCGAATATCTTCATAAGAAAATGCAAGTTGTTATAGTGTTCAACTCAGATTTCAAAGTGTGATTGAAACATCTGAGATATTTCCTGTACAAATTGTTGATTTATTTTAATTTTTTAACGGTTTAAAATCTTAAAACTTTTTATATACTTTTATCTTTTAATGGTTTTAACTAACTGGCATTGCAACTTCCAGGATCTTACGAATATTTATTCCTTTGACCTGATGATTGAAATGTAATTAACGAAACATGTCGTCTGAATTGAAGACCATTAAGTAACATTAATTAGTTGCATCAGACTGTGTTTTATTTGAATAGTTTTTATAATGTTGCTAATAATATAAATTCTAAGAAAATATCTAGTTCCAAAAAATAGGTTTTGAGACAAAGTAGTGTTTGGAGGTTCCTTGTGGAAACTGTGATGAGCATTCTGTAAAAGCATATTAATTTCATAGCAATGCCAGAACAGAAATATTATAACTCTAATAAATATATAATTTGGCACCAACAATATTAGAGGTTACTGGCTTTGACTTAGCCGTCATTTTAGTTAACTATCCTTTCAACAGTAGTTCAGATCAGATCCTGAAAATATTCCATGGTCTCTACTTTCTTAATACGCAAACACAGTTGCAATTTCTGAACAATCATTTTCAAAGCTTTAGTAGATAAAAATCCTTTTTGGAGCTGCATTGGGGTAAGAATGATTAAGTGGACATCAATAACATCCACTAAAATTAGAATTACAAGAATTATTAACAGAAGAAATAATAAAACCGCTGTGAGAACCTCAAGTCTTACACAATAAAACCTTTGCCAAAATTAAAGAAAGAAAAGTTCAATTCTAATAAATGGTAATAAGTATCTGTCTACATCACCAAATAACATCAGCATTTATTGGTATGTCATGATGACAAATTGCATACTACTCGTAGATATGGGCCACCCAAATGTTTTGAACCAGGCCCGATGATCTAGTTTTGCCACTGAAAGGAATCATGGTGTAGGTTTATAGAAATTAGAATTAGTTGTATAAATTTGTGAAAAAGCAAAATCAACTGCACTTTTCATGAATTGAAATTGTTATTGCACTAGTTACATATTTATTGAAGTTACATGTTAAGGAAGGGGAAATTCGTTCTGAATCCTTCCATACAGAAACTAACAGCATTTACTCTACTGATTAAAAGAACCAGTTTTCATCTTTCTTTGTATTCTACTCTACTGCTCAGCTAATGTGACAGATTTTTCTCAATACCAGTGCTCAGTTTTATTAAGACTAGAAGTAGTGTTACGCCAGACAGAAGCCCTGCAAAGGCAAGGTTCAAATTATTCCAAATATTACTGTTAAAGTTTGTTAGCCAAATTTTGATTGGTATAGGGTTTTCAATTTACAAAGAATTTCAGACAAAATATAAACCTCTACACAAATCATTTCTTAAAATACAAATTTGCATACCATATCACAGCTTTTCTATGGCATTTTTAGAATGATGGCTTTAGGTTATGCTGAGGGTTTAGAAATGCCAATATATTGTGTACTTGAGTGTATAATACTTATTTTGTTAGAATAATCAAATCAAGGACAAGATGGATAGAGCACATAGCATATACTGGAGAGAAACGTACATATAGCATTTTTTAACCAAAACCCTAACTGGAAGAGGCAGTGATAGGAGGATAACACTGAAATAAATATTAAAGAAATAATGTAGGATGGTTTGAACATGATTCATCTGATTCAGAATAGGATCCACTGGCAGATGAAATGAGGGATGGGTAAAAATGCCCATTGAATCCAGCTGTAAAATATAGAAAATACCTGTGTCTCTGATGCGTTTTGCTTTTATTGCTAGATTCTGTTACCAGCAGTCAGAATAAACCAACTCATTTTCATAAATGTTAGTTGTTGAACCTTCAATTTCAAATTTACCACCATCTAAAAGTCACTTAGCATCAGCAATGTTGGAGTTTTTGAACAGCAGCAAAAGCTGAATTAAAGGCATTGTTAAGAATGTTTAAAATCAAATCTGAGTTTGAGAAGCAAGATTAGTATGATTTTATGTTATTGGTCATAATTTATTCAATGTACTCCTGATAATACAGTGTACGACTTTATCTTTAATTTGTATTTTTAGGATATTCTGTAAATGGTGTAATTTTATCATCCGTCTAGTTCATATTTCAGTCTTACATGGCCATATTTTTTTGGAAGAATTATAAAGAATGTGCCCAAACCTTAATTTTTTTAAACAGTTCATGTTCTGTGGTAGAGTTTGATGATGTAATTTTTCAAAACCAATTGATTTTGTCTGTATGTAACATACCGCATAAACTCTTCTTGATTCAACAGCCTTTGTGCAGATCTCTGTTGAAAATTAGTACAGACTGACTCGATAAGTCAATTGTCACTCAGGTAGTCAAAGGTTCATTACTTCATTACCATGTTCACAACAGACCGCAATTAGACCCTATCCTGAGTCACATAAATCCACTTCACATATCTTTCCCTTATTGTTACCTAACCCTTATAAAATCTGCCAAGTGTCAAAGATTTATGTTCTTGTTTGGATGTTTGCTTGCTTGTTTGAAGTTTCTTTTTTTCAGATTTTCCCATTCTTGTAACTGGAAGTTCTACTGCTTAGATATCTTATGTTCTTCATATTATCTTGATTCATTTGCCTGGATTTTTATACCACTGGAATGTAGCCTGGTTTCCTTGATTTGCAATTTAAGTGCTGTTCATTAAACCACAGTTATTGTTATTACCACAAAGGGGTGAGACTGTCGACAAAGAACTGGGCCTCTAGCACAACCTTTATTCATTTCCCAAAAGATGTGAGTGAATGTGGAGAGTTGGCAGAATGCGAGAAAACCAAAAGACTTGGATAAAAAATGTACCAGTGTCATTTTGTTCACCACAAATTCCACACATGAACTGACCAGGGTATGAACACAGGCCTCCAGTGAGAAGCCTGTGCCTAACCACCTAATTATGGCATAGCTATAAAACCAAGGTTTATGCTGTCTTTACTCATAATAGTTGAGACTATTACCAACGTTTCATGCTTCCCTGATGTCCTCTTTATCAACATTTTCTAAAGTTGTAAAAGTCTCAAGGTTTTGACTTTCTCTTTTTTATCCAAATAATTAATCTTCGTGAGATTAAATCCTGCCATATCAAACTTTGCATGTTGCTGGTTTACTCGCGATAAGATCTGCAACCACCAGAATGTTGTCTTCTATCTAGATATGATCTGCCTGACAGTACCTTCCCATCATAATACTGTGACGTGTTGCCATGAGAGCAGCATAACAATGTCAATAAACAGTTTAGTTAGTCTTCACAATGCAAGAACCCAGAAGACAGAAATCTTCATACTCACCACTGTGAAAACCTCAAATCTTACACAGTAAAGAACTTCTTTACCACATCTGTAAATTCAAATGTGATGTATGCCAGTTTGGGTATAAAATCAAATGCAAGCCTCTTTCATGTCTCAAGGAGTTCTCAGTATAAATCTTCTGTTAGAGTATACTTGTTGTGGCAACTTCTTTCTCCACAGCTGGGGTCAAACTCAAAATACATGCACATTCCTAATAAAGTAACAAAGTGTTCACTTAGAAACCACATACAAGCATTTTAAATGCAGAAAAAAATATTCAACTCAACATAAATAGAATTAAACACCAAAAACTGAAACAGAAATGACAAAAATGAATACAGGAACAAAATTAGTCATAACTTGTCATTCTACCGGTGATTTGAATTTACAACAATAGTATAGACAGTTTATCAACATTCATTATTACTTTTCAACTGTTTTACACATTCTGCTTCAAAAATGAGACTTTTGCATTGTTTGAAATATTTATTATAATTACATTTGTTTGCATTTTGTAGATGGATTTAATAAAATTAAGGAGCACCAATGATGGCCTGTTCTTGAAAACTGGTTGCAACGTACAACAAAAAGTTTTAAGTGGAATGAGTAGACTCCAACAACCCTCTGACTAGAACAAATATTTCCAGTTATTCTTCATTACCGACACCAAATTTTCTGAGAGCGTGGTTTGTTAGAAAATGAGCTCTGGGACTGACCTCTACAGAGGTATGATACTCTCGTCCCAGGACGACAAACCTCCTCCTCTCAGGACAGGAACCATCCTTCTGAATATCAAATTTGCTGTATGAAATATCAGTTCATGTTACACAAATTTCACCAACTCATCTTTATACATGTTTACATAATTTAATCTGCAAAGCGTGCATTTATTACCATACTTTACAAAAGGTCCCTCGCCTGTGATATTATCGCTTATGACTTTCATGCATTCTACCACTCGATTAAAAAATGTTTTGTTTAAAATAATATCATTATACTTTCCTTATGGTACAATTTATTTTAAGGGTACAATATTTGACATTTGACAAGGTGAAAGTTCAGAAGTGGGGACCAGATGTCTTACACCTTATACAATCATTTCTTTCCTCATGCAACACGTTGATTTGTTAATTCCGCAAAGTCCTCGTACAGTAATTTTGAGAACTTCCATTCTCGATCTCACTTTATTTGCATTAAAATAAGACTTCCTAACATTTCTTTAATAAAATAATTCAGAGATCCCTCAGCCCACATGTTCACATCCCAAATTTCCTAACGTATGTCGTAACTTCTTTGAACCCTGTTTCAATATAAAATCTGTTATGTTACATAATAACAAAATTAAACTTATTGATACAATGAAGCCTCAGCAAGCCAATCGAATTTTAACCTTGCTCAAAACTGAAAGACTTCACTGTACTAATTAGGTTAATATTGTCAATCTACCCGCAACTGAGTTTCAGTATAACTGAATATACTGGGCCATCAGATGACATAGCGACCAATTTCTTGACAAGAGTGAATACTTATTTTCTTAGCAACTTGTCAGACTTTGGTTTGGTGCCTGCCATGATGAAATTTGGAATTTAGGCCAGAACACTAATTAAGGAAGGAAGGCATTTGTTCCGTAGTTATTAAATATCGGTTGCACTTTCCAGTTTTCTCAAATTTATATACTGGTCAGTGTATTTCTGCAATAAGTTCTTCTGGAAGTGGATTAGGAAGGCTTCCATGGACAGTTTCTAATTAAACTGACAATGTTATATAGAAAGGAATTACGGCCCCTTATTATGTAACATCAATCTATAAAATAAGAGAGTTAATGAAAAAATAGGTTTACATAAAAGAAGCTCCAATCAGTTATATAGCTGATGTATACAAGCTATTGTAATATTAAGACACAATTTGAAAAGCTCCAACAACAAAATATTGCTTACAAAATGAATCTCGGTAAACAAATGAGAAATTCCATCTCTGGTCCTTTCGTATTTGATTGTCCGTTTCTCTGACTTTTCAACTCGGATGGTTAAATGTGATCACACCCGACAACATTAACAACGAGAGAAGTGGCAGAGGCCCATTTTCTGTCAAGAATGAGGTCCATTTCCACATCCGCCCGAACGATGACTCCTGCCAGAGTGGAACCACACTGCTGTGTTGCTCTTATATGGGTTTGACAGCATCTCGCTTTGAATGTTTATTACGTGCGCAACAGATCCAGATACTCTTTATTTTTCTCAGATAAAAGCCCCCGCCCCCTCCAAACAGAAATCCTGAACAAAATCCAGTCTTTGTAAAGAAGCACGAGTCTGTACATTACGCTAGTGTGTCCTTTTAAAAGCACAAGCAAAGAGAATGCACTGCACAGACAAAGAGTACTGTATATTTTCTTGGTTCAAGTTTTCATTAAATTAGCACGATCACTTCTTTCCATAGGTTTCTCCAGCAAATGTACGCACTCAGACACATTCAAACACACTCTCCTATGCCTAGCGGTTAAATGTGTTCATTAAACAAAGTGATTAAATGCCCTTTACCACGTATTATAGCAGTGATAGCACAAGATACTGTAATACGAAAAAAAGTAATGTTGTACAAAACATGGATAAAGAGGGATTAAAAATATGACATAAAGACCCAAGAGGCAAAGATTCACCAAACTGCAGTGTAAGGGATACACAAGAAAAAAACAAAATGCACCACGAGAGTGTGTTTGAGCGCGTATCTCGGCTATGCTAATCGATCTGGTTTACTGGATCACGCAGCACTTGCACTTTGGTTTCTTCTTGAGGACAACGTGTTCCACTTGTGATGCGTCACTGGCCGGGACAACCGTTCCCCGTTGCACCTCCACTGCTCCGGGTGCTGACGGTTTCTCGTTAGAACACGGAGCATTTCCATTAGCTCCTACTTTGTTTTCATTATTTTGCTTCGAGGCAGCTACAGGTGGGGACTGTGACAATGTAGTCGCAACATCTGCTGTTGCAACAGGCGAGGATGTTGCATTCAGGTGGTCTGCCTCATCCCGTCCTTCATCTTCTCTTGTAAAAGGCAGTTTCGGAGCCACACTGCCCGGGGTTGGAGTGATCGGTTTGCCACCCTTTATCATTTCGACTATCTCGTCGGCTTCTCTGCTCAGGTCCCCATCAGGCCGAAATGGGTTGTCCCACCCACTGTCAGTGCTGAAAACATAAAAAACGTTCAGTGAACATTAAGTACACCATCTTTAAGCTCTCCTTCTCCCTTTCCATTTGGTACATTTATCTTTCCAAACTAGACAAAAGACTAACACAAAAAACTACATATTTCAGTCCCAGTCTCTGATATTCACATGATTTTTAATATATTAAAAATAATAAAATAATGATGACCCTTCTTCATATTAAATTCAATTATCTGTTTCACAAGAGCAAAGTCTGCTTTTCTACAAACCTTCAACTAGAATGCTGAAATTACAGAACAATGATAGAGATGCCCACTTACTGAACCGTGCTGAAGTTAAGAGAAGAGGCATTTAACTTACTAAACAGCGATATTAATATAAATTCTTGCAAGAACACATATCATCACTGACATTCTTAGAATCAAGACATCAAACAAATTATTATCTGATTTCTTATCCTTTTACTTAAAGTTTCATTTGTATCACAAGAAAACACCACACACATTTTAACCTTACTCACACAACCACATGATGCACTGCTCAGAAGATACTTAATTCATCTCATATTTTGTCAATAAAAGTGTTAAGATTTCTTATAACTTCAGTTCATGTTCCAGTTCTCTAACAGTCTGATTTCTGTTTCATATTTTGTTATTCTTTTATCCATTCTAAATGGACTCCTATGGCAATTTTATCCACTTACTAACTTACTTAAGGCGAGGTAACTAATTAATGTAATGTAACGTAATGCAAATTGATAACCCAGTAATAAAACGTAATTCAGCCGATGGACTGGTGCACGACTCAGGCACATTTGATTATGCAGTCAAATCCTAAAAGTTCCGTACAATGTTCATACCAAATTTTGATAAAAAGGTCAATTTGTTCAAAAGTTTAAAAGGCAGAGGTACAAACAGCATGATGCATTATAATATTAACGAAGCGTGTACAGGGGATTTATTACCGTCCGCCATTTAAATTATTTCTTCTCGTGGGCTGGCAACCTGATTCGGAACTGACGAGTGGAGAAGTTTCGTACAAAAATGTATAACACA